ATAATAAAATATTTACAAAAATGTGAGGGGGTGTATTCACTTCTGTGAGATACTGTATGTTACATGGGGCATGTAGTACTACCCCCCTTGGGGGTTGCCATTGATTTGGGTCCCCCTATAGTACTGTAAAGCCAGGCAATCTGCATTCTCCACACAAGCTTGCATTCAAAGTCAGAAATCAGTCCTTGAGCTTTTGTTTTGTTGTTTATTGAGGGGATTTAGAACTGGGATAGGGTAAGGGGGTATAGGATGCCCAAGGGAACCGATAACTGAGAACAAACTTCCTGGAACTATTCACAAGTATCTCTTCTGTGACACAGTCTGTGCCAGGGAGCTAGCCAGCATCTCCTTGATGTGCCATCCCAGACTCTAGATGAAATCCTTCTCTTTACCCAGCAATCTGGAGATTTTCCTGAGCAGAGAATCTGGCTCCTATCCTTTTAAATAGGTGAACAGTCACTAGCAGTGGTTTCCCACCAGAGTGCTCCTTCTCTTATCCGCCCAGGGGGTGTAGGTGTACTCACTCAGATCCTCTCCTGTACCGCTTGTGGGTTGGCTGCTGCTACCAGGCCTATCAGCTGGGCTGCTCCTTCCCTGCCATACAGGTGGTCCTCACTCTGGGGGCCAGTGAACTCCTGTTTTCCAGCTCCAGGCTCGTAGGCAGGCCCAATCCCACTAGGCCTCCTAGCAGCCTCCTTCCTCAACCTCACATCTTCTCCTCTAGATTGCTCTCCTTCTTCCACCTGATTCCCCTCTACTGAGCAGACTCCAACACCTTTAGGGGAGCCTCAGCCCATTGCCAAACCTTCTGTTGGGGATTGGCTGAGGCCCCTCAAATGTGCAGCCAGCCACTCCTCAGATCCACCCATTGCTTCTAAGGCCCTCCTCCAAAAGCTTCAGAACAGGGGGAAATTCCAGAGGGGTTGACCTGCAGAGCCTCTCAGCCCTGATCACAAATTGACTCCTAAGGCTATTACACCTAAGTTGCTACTCAACTCCTGTCTAACCATTAGGATCTAGCTCCCCCTAGCTAAACCAGGAGGGTGCTACAGGCAGAAACAGGTTAAGTATGCAATGAAAATATATCTTCAAATTAATCTTTATGTCAAAATGATCAATAAACCCAGAGATGATTATAAATAATTCTTGACTTGTTGTAGAAATGCAGCTTAGCTTCACTCCCTCCAGTGTCCTAGCTTTCCTGTTGGACAGCGAAGCTGTATATCACATTGAGTAGGCGAGAAGGGCTATGCCATACCAGAACATACCAGAACTGATATTACCTTTTTTCTTAATGGGCAATGTTGAGTAAAGGGCTCAGCTTTCTGTTGGTTGTTCATATTCTGTAGTGTTTGGTCCTCCACCCCTCCCATCTAGAATGCATTAGTGGAGGGTGACTGAATGGCTTTGTAATGGTTATGACACATGTGTAGAATATTCTTCTGGAAATAGCTGTGTCTCTGAAGTTCAGAGAGAGAGAAGAAGCCAGCCTATATTTAGCTAGCTGTTTTCCTGTGCAGGTATCTTGGTGAGGCCCTTTATGGAAGACCAATGTGTAGCAACACATGATACATCTTGTGCTGATGCACAATAAGGTGTGAACAGGTCCTTAAACTCACCAAGCCAAAGTCCCATGTGGCAATAAACATGTTTGTGGCATGATAGTTAAGGAAAAATTCTGTGGTGTCCCCATACTTTTAGTTCCATAAGCAGATGATTAATTTACTAAATAGTTAATGCAGGGCTACACATGGGCATCTAAAGTGGGCATCCTTACTCACCAAATGCTCCCAAGTGCTTGTGGCTGAAAAATATTATTTGATGAAACTGCTATATCAGAATATCTCATCCACATATCGTATTTCTCCTAAATGACTTAGATCCAGTCAGGCTTGTTAATATTTTATATTGTGAGTGCAACTAAAAGCTTTAATAAAAAACTACTTATCATAATCACCATTACTTTTAGGCCACTAAATAATAAAGTGGCCAAACAGTGAGCTGAGCATGTCAGTTCAGACATTCCTTTGCCTGGCTAGAAAATCTGGTTCTTTTTTGGAAAATCAAAGGTGTTCTCAAGATAAATTATAATCCAGCCTAGTGCTGATGTCATTACGCCTGCTCGACTAAGCTCAACTAATATTTGTCTTTATGCTGGAATGTACCTGTTTTTTTTTTTTTTTACATTCAATGGTAACATTTAAATACTATACTATGGAGTTCCTTTGTTCTCTCCTTCATATGGGATGTTATCTGATCTGATTGGGCTGAGATGATAATCAGCAGAAGTTTATCTAGGCTACTTCTGGGAGTACCTTGATACAGTTAAAGTTCTGAGAGACCTCCTAAATCTAGAGGTCTAAATATCTGGTAAGCAGTGGATTTGTATGGTGGTGGTGGAACACTTAAAGAGGATCTTCGCCCTAGAAAGAAAAATTAAAAGTCAGCAGCTACAAATATTGTAGCTGCTGACTTTTTATAAAAGGACACTTACCTGTTCAAGGATCCAGCTCTGTCCTTGCCTGGGCCAGTTCTTCGCCAGTCTTTTGGTCCCTGGTTATGGCATGTTTAGTGTGGCAAGCTGGCTGTGACTCCTTGGGGCATCACAGCCAGCTTTCCCACTGTTCATGCACAAGCTGCGCTGAGCTTTGTGAATGGTCCTGCAGCCTTCTTGAACCAGTGCATATATTAGCAGATATGTGAAATTACGTTGTACAACAATATGTCTTTGTAAAATGTGGATCTTATCTAATCTATAGAAGTACCAGCACTGAAATATAATAAGCAGTAAATTATGGTGAACTTACCAGTTACCCAATTCCTTTGAGGCTATTACCATGCATGAGCAAGCCAGGCTACATAAGAGGGTTAATCTACTAAAGGCAAAAAGGCTGTTCAGTTTGAAATAGAAGTTATACTTTGCAAGGGAAATTGCTCCAGAGCTTAGTGAATGTGGTGAAATTTCACTTTGTAAAGAATACCAGTCATGTACAAGGAAAAAAACTGCATTTTTGCTTGCATGTGATTGGATGATGGAATCATCAGAGCTTCACCTCTGCCGACATCTATCATCCAGTTACATCATTCACCTTAAGCTTTGGGAAAAAACCCTTGCAAAGTGAACAGAATATTTTCCTTAAGGCCTCATTCACACCTGAGCGTTTTGTAGCTCGAAGCTTCAAAATGTTCAAAATCCAAAATCCAATGCTTTTCAAAGTTGATTGTTCATATATGAGCGCTCAGATGCCTGTAGCAAGATGCCTGAATCCCAAAGCTGCATGACCTACTTTTGAGGCAGATTTGAGTGTTTTGGGCTCCATAGACTTCAATTGGAATGCTTGAAAACACTCAAATCGAGTGTTTTCAAGCATTTATTCAGCCATGTTTGAGGCATTTTTGAGCTGGTAAGAACTGGTCTCTTTCCCCTAGTGCTTTCCAATTGCTAAAGCAAAATGCTTGCAGCTTGACTACTCATGCACAATGCTTGTAAAATCCAAAATGCTCACTGTAAATAAGGTTATTGTAGCCACATCAGAGCCCTTACAATAATATAGTGAGAACAAAGTATTTAAAGTGACACTAAACAATGTCTTAGTTTTTCAAAAATAATCCATACGCATCCTCTACTTAATGGCCCCATAATCTATTTTTTCATTAAATTGTTTCTTACTGTATTTTCTGCCCCCTTGTTAGCTCCCACACCTCTTCTTTTCCCACTCACTTCCATTTTTTTGGAACAATCAACGCATGTTAGTTGCAGTCATGTGCACGGCTCTATGCACACTAAAAATCCCACAGTCCGTAAATATCTCAGGAGTGAGCAAAAAGGGTGGCTATGCTCTTAATTATAGTGGGAGCATGGGGATGAACATCGCTACCCTCTAATGGGAAGCTGTGGGATCACAGCAGCACAAAAAAAAAGGAAGATGATATCATTAAGCCCAGGTTCACACTGATGCGGTGTGGAATTCGCAGCATTTTCTGTGTGAATTCCGTACCGCATCAGAATCACACCCCGTTCATGCGAACCGCTGTGGGTGTGTATGTTAAGTTAACAAACCCCCAAGAAAGCAGTCCGCAAAACACAGTGCGATGTGCAGAATCAGATCATATAGGTGTGAATACCCATGCGATTCGATTCTAGTGCGAACCCAAAAAAGGGTCCTGCACCTTTTTAGTGTGGTGAGATTAGAGCCATAGAAAATGTATGGCTCCAATCACACCGCACACAAATCGCATGTGATTTGCACAGGAATGAGGTGCGGTTCCTGTGCGAATCACATGCGATATACCACAACGCATATATGTGAACCCAGGCTAAAGGTACTTTGAAGAATTTTGAGAAGAGTAAAGAATACATACAGTACTTGAATATAACTTATTTTTTTAAACCAAAGTTTAGTGTCACTTTATCTCTCCCGTTATAAAGGTTGTTGAGTAGAAAGTGTCACAATTTTCTTTATAAACTAATATTTTACATTAAAAAGTGCTCTATAATGTTTTCCCTTTTATAGTAATAGTACCGAAAGTAGAAAAAAAAATTATATTACTTAAATCACCATTTAATAAATTATTAATAAATCAAATATCATTATTACTCTACCATAATACTCTAAAAACAGTTAAAGTGGAGTTCCGGGTTTCTCGGATGGTAGAGAAGGGAATGAGTCACAACTATCAGGTTTCTGTCTGTATCCCTTGTAAAAAGATTCCTCGTCACTATTTTTTTCTTCCAAAAACTAAAAGAAATGTTCTACCTGGACTTCCACTTAAATCTTTAAATAAACCAGGGAAGAAAGTTTAGGAAAAGTTTATCACAAGTTATAAAGCCAGAGCACATGTAAAACATCCAGCAGTTAATAAAAGTGTTACAATTAAATCAAATTGAGCTTTCAACCGGAAACTGAATAAACCACTTCTAGGATTGTACATAGAACTGTAATTTATTGAGGAGATGTTCACTCAAGGAAATGTGTACTAAGAGAAATACATAAAATGCTAGCTGCCTGGCAAGTCTTTGGCTTTGGTACTTTCTGATTATGAATCTGGAACAAGCATACAGCCAGTAAAGTCAGAGTTCCTGATATGCATGTTCTTCTTGGTCATTGACATAAAGTATTGGAACCAGTGGCGGACTGACAACTCATGGGGCTCCCGGGCATTAAGGCATCATGGGGCCCCTGGTCCTTGCCCAAACTCAAAAAAGCCTATGAAAAAGGTACCAGGGGCATCTCATGGGGCCCCCTACTGACCCCGGGCCCTCGGGCAGTGCCCCAGTTTCCAAATAGTCAGTCCGCCCCTGATTGGAACACTATGAGGGCTCATTCACACAGAGGACCATACACCATAAATAAAAGTGTATATTTCTGCACCCAGGTATTAGCGTACAGCTGCTTGTACAATTCAATGACAGGCTGCGGCTGTTTGCTGGTAACTGCACAACCAAGTGTTTACATGTGTAGATGAATGGGTGCTGATCCCCTGGTTGAAGTCCCTAAACACGGAACGTTTTACATCTGGGAGTGTACATGCACCCCTGTACACATTATAAACGCTCAGATTTGTGTGGATATCAGCATACAACCACAGCCTGTCATTGATTTGTACAATGGCTGTACGCAAACACCTGTACTCCCGGGCGCAGAAGTACATACTTCTATTCATGGTGATCGGCCATATGAATGAGCCCTAAAAGCTAGGTTTTCAGAAGGATACATATTCTCTACATATTTCTCTCACTACATTTCCTTTCATATCACCTGAAAGCTTACATACATAACATCATCTTCTGACCGTGTCTGATATTTGTTCTACATGTGATCTCCAGAAGTGCCTGTGCTGAAGTTTGGTACTCACATTCCAGCAGCTGTTCTGATTGACATTGCTGAAAGTGGGTGTACCTACTTCTGGCTCAGATCACAGAGTCTGCAACAGCTAGCATTGTTCTAAAGCCACAAAAAGTCTGTAGTACTTTAATCAGAATGCAGAATGAAATCCCATAGGGAGCTGAAGCTTTTCATATCAAAAGGTGCATCCTAATACAACATGTAAGCACAGGCAAGTTCCTCTTCTCTTGCTTATGATAAACTTTGTGCTTCCCCTAAAGTTCTCCTTTTCAAGTGTAACATACAATGATGTTCTGAAAAAATGAAAACAGACATCACATAATGTATGCTTCGATTAGCTGATCTGGCTTACCTTCTGTTTTCTTGTTTATATACCTGGAGAAGCTACAACACACCTTTTTGTTCCTTGTGTCTCTTCTCTCATCCACACAATGACTGACCTTCATTACAACCAGTTTAGACGAGTGTTCTCCTTGCTGTAGGACTTCTAATGTCGGGTCACACCCACCTGATGACATAAACGGAGGTGAAAAGTCCACAAGAAATACTGACTTGCTGCAGGTTGTCATTACAGGTAACACAGGGTCATGACTACGTTCAACGTCAACCACTTCTATAATCAGTGCAAGTGAAGGAAGTCAATATTACAGGTTATAAATGCTTCATTATTTAATGGCACTATAGATGTTTATGAAACAAACCATATTTAATCAGAATTGCTTGGCAGCAGTCAGGCCACAGGCTATTATTATTATTATTATTATGATGTCCTAAAGTGTTACTAAACCCAGTAAAATCAGTCTGTATATGCAGTAAAGCATGCTTGTTATACTCACTGTGGAACCTAAAGGGTTAATCCTCTGCATTGTGTAAAAGGGCTGTTTGATCCTTTCTTCTCTGTTCCTCCCCTTTTTCAAGCGACCACCACTTATCTCCAGTCTGAACCGTAGGCAAGCACATGATCAGTTTGATGTATATTGCTAGAGAGGGTTTTTTTTTTCTTAGGAGAGAGCATGTGATCAGCACAGGGCCATTCAGCACTATCCAGACAGAGGTCAGGGGATTTCCATCCTCCTAGAGCAGAAAGAAAACTCCTTCTACAAGATTTAGCTAGTGCTGGCCTGGACAGAGAAAAAAGGCTGTTTTCCTGTTTTCTCTGCCCCTCCTCTTGTTCAAATGTCCAAGTCTTATCTCTTGATAAGACAGACTGAACCCGTAGCCACATGTACATGCTCAGTTTAGTGTGTATTGCTAGAGAGGTTTTTATTTTTTCCTGGGAGAGTGCAGGTGATCAGCTCAGGGCCAATCAGCACTCTCCAGACAGAGGTGAGAGGTTTTGCATCCTCCTAGAGCAGAAACGCAAAACTCCTTCTACAGAACACTGATAGAAGTCACAAGACTGCTCTAACTGTTGATGAGAAAAGGTATTTAGCAGTCTATATTTACTAAAATAATTGCATTTCCATGTTGTGTTTACTGTGGGAGACCGGATATAGTGAATGCAGGGTCCTGGGTTTAATAACATTTTAAGAATTGATACATGGAAGTGTTTCCAATTTTCAAAGAAATACAAGGCACCTTGTAAAATATAATTGTGTTCTCATGGGAGTTTTGACTAAAATGTTTGAGTAAAATATTTGAGTAAAATATAGCATTTAGGACAAGCAGCTTAAACATAGTTGAACTGACTATAACTGTTTTAGCTGCCGAGAGCTTTGTAACTTCTGTTTATCCAATCTTTTGATAGAGGTACTCCTGCCAGATGCATAGCAAGGTCTTCCTGAGACCTCTTGGCAGACTCCATTTAGATAATCAATGCCATCTGCTTCAGAACCTGCCCCAGCCTGGACAATGAAGGAGCAAAATCACCTTGATTGACAAGTGAATGGTCATGCAACACTGTACCCATATGAAATTTGTATCATTTTTTTGAGACAGATAGAGCTTTTTTTGGGCGGATTTTAATCACCACCGGGTTTTTATTTTTTGCTAAACAAAGGAAAAAAGACTAAACATTTTGAAAAAAAGTTTTCTTAGTTTCCATTATAAAATTTAGCAAATACTGTAAGTAATTTTACTTCTTCAATGAGGCTGCAGTGATGTGCACTGATGGGCACTGATGAGGCTGCACTGGTGAGGCAGCACTGATGGGCACTGATGAGGCAACACTGGATGGGCACTGATTAGCTGCACTGCTGGTAACCAATGAAGAAGAACTGATGAAGCTGCACTGATGGGCACGGATAGGTGACACTGATGGACACTGATAAGCTGGACTGATGGGCACTGATGGGGCCCTGATTATCATTGTAATCAATGTATTTTCATACGTGCCGATTATTGGCTCCCCTTTCCTCACACAGAGACCATGGGTGAGGAAAGGAATACCAATAACCAGCAAGTCTGTTTACATATGACCAGTCTCTTTACATCTTGCCAAATAGTAAAGGGCTACTGTGATTGGCCCTTTACCGGGATCTGTGATCAGCTGTGACGTGTATCCATGGTCGTCCTCCCAGAACTGGAGAGCCACGCTGAAAAATAATATAGGGGAGACTTTGGGCACTGTGAACAGTCCATGCAGAATCCTGTGTGAATGGCTGGACAAATGGGTTTGATCAAGTGAACTGCCAGCAACAGTGTGAAGTGAAACATTTAGCAGTGGTACTAATACCACTGCTAAATGTGACAGCTTCCTTCTGGTTGTTAGGGAGCCAGCACCTGCCAGCATCATAACAACCAGTTACTCATTCCCACCAGGCACATTAAAGCAGTATTACATCCAAAGTAAACATGTATTATATTGCAGCTTACCAATTATTATTATTATTATTATACAGGATTTATGTATTGCCAACTGTTTACAATACAATTTGGTACAAGAGGAAACAGAGGGCCCTGATCGTTAGAGGTTACAATCTAGGATTCTTAGATGTGATGATTACATTAGTTTTCTTTTTTAGGCTTGCATTACATTACTTTCATCTGGTGATCTAGACCATAAGTCTGATCTTTTTCAATAGAAAAAGCTGTTCTGCAGATGTAGCAGGTAGAGAGTTGAGGCAAAGAATTTAACACTGACAGGGGTGTTTACAATGATCAGCTTTTATTCATTTATGTAGGACCTTTTTTCCAAAAGTAACAAAACAGTTTGCTATAACTGCCTATTAAGTGTTAGCCGGAGTTTGGCTTCAATTTGTTAGTGTATTTAAATCTTGTAGTCCATCTAACACTCCCCTCAACCAGACAGACAATGCTGCTGTCCAAAGGTATCTCTGTTGCTCCTTCATCCACAGTGTAGGCACCATAATACAGGAGGTGTATTACTTGCCAGATCACAAGGTGAAAACAGAAGGAAGCCTAAAAAAAAACTAATGCAGCCACCACATCTAATGATTGGTAAGCTGGAATATATAACATTTTTTATTTGGAATTTAATATTGCTGCAAGCTGTCAGTCGGAGATTTCTGAATGCCAGGTGAATGTAAACAATATAAATAAAAAGCAGAGATAAGTGTAAAAAAAAAATAAAAAAAACACAGAAGGGGTCCCCCGAAAAATTCATACCAGGCCCTCAAATCGAAGGGTCTGGTATAGATTTTAACGGAGATCCCCCCAAAAATGTGTAAGGTCTCCCCCAAATTCCGTAACAGACCCTTCAATTTGAGTCTGGTATGTATTTTAAGGAGGAATCCTATAGAAAAAATCCATACCAGACCCTATCTGAGCATACAACTTAGATGGCCAAGAAAGGGGTAAGATGATCATGCAGCCCCCTTCCGGAACCATACTAGGCCACATGCCATCAACATGGGGGGGACATTGATGATGAGGACAGCCCACAACCCTGGCACAGTAGTCGCGGAGGTCTGCAAGCAGGAGGCTTTCAGAATCTGGAAGCCCATTTAAAAATAAGATAACTGATATGGCCTCCCTCCCTTGTGATTAAGAAAGGAGTAGATATCATCCCTATTCATTCACAAAAAAACCTGTCAATGATAAATAAACATACACAGTGCCTATTTTGTTAAAAATCCAATAATAATCTATCTCACCCTGCTCTGCACATGCTCAGTTGCTCTCTATTTTTCAGTACTATGCCGAATTTGCAGACGCTGATCTGCTGACAGCCTAAAAATCTACTGCTGCTCAGGACTTCAGCAAAATGGCAGCCTCCAGCTAGAGAAACAGGAACAATGCCGGAGGCAATTTACAGCACACACTAATTTTGGTATCATAATTATTAATGTGGAATATATGTTCCTTGCTCGACAGCATTATTTTTTATTTTATTTTGTTATGAGTAAAGTTCCGCTTAAAAAACTAAACGAGAAATAATCCATCAATGGTCTACAATAACGTTTTCAACAACAATCACATTTCCTGAACCTAAATTTAAATATATAAATAAATATAAATCATTCAGAGAGGGATACTGTCTGACTATTTGATTTTTTTCTTCACCGAT